AAGAGAAAATTTTTATATTGAATTTCAAAAAAACAAAAAAATAAACGTTTACTGTCGTAATTCGCTTTTAACATGATTTGAAACCCGTGAATAACAAACAGATATAAGACCTGATGCTGATGTACGTGATGTAAACCAATCACCTTGTGCTAAACGTTTAACAGTTGGTACAAAATATGTTTCTAAATCTGTTGTTGAATGTTGTGGTGCTAATATACGAAGTGATTCAACAGCTTTATCACGGACAATTGTTTCTTCAACTTGTGCTAAACTTTCTAATGGTGGCTAAAGAAAATTTAAAATAAAACTATTTAAACAAAAAAAAAATTTCTTTCTTCTCAAATTTTATATACCAATAAAACATGGACATAACTTTCACCACCAACAAGTTGTGTAAATGTACCTAATTGTTCAGCTAAAGCTAATAGAACTTCATCCTCATCATAAATTGTATCTGGAAAAATGAAGAATATATAGATAATATATTCGTTTATTTATTATTGAAAAAAAGACAAACAAACCAGTCAAAAATGGAATAAGTTCAGATCGTGTTCTTTCAACACCAAGTGCCAATGCAATAGTAGATAATTTTTTTATGCTATTTAGACGTAACTAAAAATATGCATATATACATAGACAAGTTTCATCTTAAAAGAATAAATATTATTTACTTGAACATCTTCATTACGAAGTTCATCAATTAAAACAGCGATTGGATAAAGACTTTCATCTGATTGAATATCTCCTGAAGCCATTTCTTTTTTTTTTGGATATTGGAATAAAATTAAATCTATAGATCAGAAAAAGAAGAAAAAAAGGAAAAGGAATTATGAGACATTATTAGTAACATCACAACGAAGAGGTAAATATTGGATATGGGGAACAATGGATGTATTATTAACCATTGATTTATTATGAATGCCTCATATACAGAGCATTTTATTGTGTTTGTAAACTTGCGGCATCTAGAATTCATTGAGTGTAAATGTAGCCTATGTTCTTGATACTACTAACTAACATAGGCTAAATTAGTGATGAATATAAAAGATTATAAGAAACTTTCATTGATCTTCAAGGATTGATAGTTATATAATAAAATCAGCTATAACATTATAAATAAAAGCATCAAATTTTGCATTTATACATGTTACACCAACAACCATAAATGAATCAAATGGTAATACGATGAGAGCCATGAACCGTCGTCAGAATACATTCATATATATATATATATCGTATCGAAGTTGTTTTGATTAAACTCCTCTGAAAAAATCTACCTTCGGCATGGTATATGAAATATTGAGGAACATTTGCATAAGTTTTTGGCTTAGAAATACATTAATAAAAGATATTCCATGTTTCTATATGTTACCACTCAGAAGATTTTCAGAGGCCAAGCCGCGAAGCTCGGGCTATTATCATTTGAAAGAGAACTCCTTACAAGTTCGAATGAAGGAAAGAATGTTTTTATTTATTTTTATTGTTGGGATCATCAAAATTTCAGAAGTCTAAAAAACTCAATCTAGCATTAATGATTAATTAGACAATTCCTTCCACGCATTGGAAGGATTATGCATATAAAGGGTGTTTCATATGTAACGGCCCCATTTTTATAGAGTCTTACTCTATAAAAATGGGGCTGTTATTTATGAAACATCCTTTATATTCTGATAGAGCTTGAATTTCTCTACCACCCGGTATAGTTGTCTTTTATCCTACTTGTGTTTGTTGTAAACAAAAGTTGAATACATTAGATGTACCCTCAGTTGGCAGAAAATCAAATTGACTACTTTTAGAAACTTTCAAATTATTATTATTATTATTATCAAAATAAATATTTCCAGAAGTAAATACATATTCTGATAGAGCTTGAAATTCTCTATCATCCTATATATTTCTGTATTGCCTTGCACTTACTTACTGAAGGATAAATCGAATATTACAGAAGCACCCTTTGGCAAACTTTAAAAATTGAATTTTTTCTATCTCTTTCACGTTTATTTTAGGTTCATTACCAAAATAGAAACAACTTTTTCGCCAACTAATTATATATTCTGATAGCACTTGAAATTCTCTATCATCCTAGACTTCTGAAAATAAAAACGAAAGAGATAGTAAAAAATGCAGTCTTTTATAGTTTATCAAGGAGGGTGTCTCTATAATATTCGAGTTATCCTTTAGTAAGTAAACGCAAGGCAAGACAGAAATATATAGGATAATAGAGAATTTCAAGCTCTATCAGAATATGTATTTACTTCTGGAAATATTTATTTCGATAATAATAATAATAGTAATAATTTGAAAGTTTCTAAAAGTAGTCAATTTGATTTCCTGTCATATGAGGGTATATCTAATGATATGTGATAGTGTTCAAGTTAATTTTGAAACTGAGATAACTTTGACAATGATGTTATACAGTACATGAGATCATCATTCAACTGATATGTTTAAGGTGCATGGTTTATGACAAATTTCTATTAGACCCGAAAACTTAAAGTTTTTCAAATCATGAAAGCAGTAATACGATGTTAAGATTTCTTAGCTAGCTTCTTTTTATTTTCTACCGAATCTCAGCATCATAGGCGTACTTTAATTATTCGACAGTCTCCGAAGTCTTTTTTTGTATTTTAGAATTCAACCAAAATGTTATAGTCTAGAATTGACAATATACACTTCGAATATTATATACTTTCAATCTTTTTTTAGATGTTTTCTTATCTTTTTGTACTATTCAACTACATATTTACTCAATGTAGCATTTTGATGATATCATTCAAAATATACAATTCTTGCTCGTTTAAACTTCATTGGAACAACTTCAATAACTTATTTTATTATTACTAACCATGAAGAGTAAGCCTTTGACTCATCTTTAAGAAGCAAAAAAAAATAAGTATAGTTATATAATACTAAGTATTGGTCGAATTCGATTATAAAAACAAACAACAATCATACATGTTGCAGAAACAAATAGTGCAAGAGAACGAAATAATATTTGCTCAAACAAGGTAATTGACAACAACAAGATTTCCAACCAAATAGAAAACTTTATTTTATCAATTGAAAGACTAACTTTTGGCATATATATAAATCCTCCAACTAGAATGAATGCTACTTGCGGAACAGGAACGCGATGAATCCCAGTCAATAGTTTACCAACATTTGTATAGAACAAAGAAAACTCCCAATAGATTGAGATAACTAATGGAATAACAGGTATAGAACGAAGAATCTTTTTCCGAGGCAAAGCAGCAAGTGCATTAGGTCGCCTCTCTTTTTGTCATTTGTACTCATATTAATACTTTGAGATTATTTATTTTTTCATGAGACTAAGGTGTATCATCTACTAACCATATATTTAATGTAAGCCATATGAAACGAAAAAAATATGTCAAAAGAAATAAGTATATGTAGCTGGAAATTAGTCGACCAAAAGTTCAGAATTTGAGATCCATAATTAGTTGATATTGTTCTTGGCATATTATTGATTTGAGCAGCATATGAGAATGTGTTTGATATTATATTAATATTATTCTTGTTAACCATAGAAACAACATCCAGATATAAATTAATTTATTGTGCATATTGTATAAAAAAGCCCAAAACTAACAAGTTAAAAAAACTAAAACGCCTTGATAGGATATGAGTCATAGCAATGAGGCTGTCTTATCAGTGTACAGGATTTCTGTTAAAACTACAAAAATATTAATAAGATTTTAATGGTCGAATAAAAGTAATAAAGATATGAGCTCATGGGAAACACAAATGATTTGAAGTTTTTTTCTATACCTTTATACTTGCGACCGTTAGTTCCTTTTACTTCATATCTATGAATCATAATGTCCCATGAATAGATGAAGTTTTAACTGTAGAATTTACAGAAAGTAGTGTAATAAATTGATTTTTCTTTTACATAAATGCTGATAAAATTTGACATTGATTTAGATCAAACAAAAACGACAGTTTCATTTCATGCTTCGCATTTATATGAATGTTTTCACTGTAGAAAAAGATCTACATTAAATCCTTTGGCTGAAAAAGAAAATCATGCATAAATATGCAATGACTTTGACTTAATCTAAGCATTTACAAAAAGTGATTGTAATGTTCAAGCAAAACTATTGATTATCATTAGATAAAACGTTTAGTCAAGTACTGTGCAAGTTAAATTGTACATATCTCACTCAGAATAATAATTTATTCTATGGAATTACAAGTAAAAAAATAGAATAAATGAATAAAGAAAGATGTTAGTCGGCAGATACTAAACTGGAATGAACAAGTAAAAAACAATGATACTATCAAACAAACACAAAACATAAACCATTATTGTTTTTCTTATATATTTATCATTCAGTATGAACTTCAAATAAGATGTGATGGAGTTCTGAACTTCTGGAACTCTAACAACTGAAGCAATCCTAGTGTTTAAATGAAATTACCATCATCACGCATGGCTTACTCACAAATTTTAAACAACAGCAGTGGTGTCTTATATTCAGAAATTTCCAATAAAAACTTAGAGAATCTGGCCACTGCGGGTTTTGTAACCAGGGCTGCCCAGAATCAACCAACATTTGGGGGAGGGGGAGCAGGTGCAATGAATTTGTTGGGGATAGAGGTTAAATTTTGAGAATTCGGGGGATTTATCATCATTTTTGCTAACAGAAAACAAGAAAATTTTTGGATTTTACCAAGAAAAAATGAAAATTTTTGAGGATTGGGGGAGGTGTTACACTCCCGACATCTCCCTCCCGGTTGCAACAGTCCTGTTTGTAACTATGTATGTATGTCTTCCCCGAATATTTTCTTCATATACAAATAATCAATTTCTTATTATTAACTAACTAAACATGCACAAATAAAAAAAATTTACAAGAAAATGATAATTCAATATCTATCAAGACATTTGACAGATTCAAAAGTACTAAGAAAACATAAAATGAAAATAAAGTAAATTGATTTTTTTTGATAACAACCTACTGAGAAAAACTTATAGATTAACTAATTTCATTATTCTTTGTGACATGTGAATCATCTGTTTTCAATGGTACTGTTGTTAAAGACATATTTTCTTCATTTTGTTTCGATTCTTCCGATTGAAATCTAGCCCATTTTCGAGGTACTGCTGATCCATATAATAGATAAACAGAACCACCAATAATATAAATTATTGCAAATATTACAAGAAGTTTTCGCCAATCATCAAGAATGGGTTGTTTTATAATAAGACCTGCTATAAGATTACTAATAAGAGCACCAACTGTTCCAAGTGCACTTGCTACAGCAAAGATAATCGATGAATAGGCTGGAGCTATATCACCAAAGTTAACAACATAACCAGAACCATAAGCGATAGCTATAAACATTTATGAAAAACAAATTCGTTTTAATCTTTTTTTGTCTTAAATGAATAAAATTTATCTTTTTAATAATTTACCTGAACCAACAAGAAATATGAATACAGTTATGATACCAAGTAATTGTCGTGTATGATCACAAAAACAAAGAACAATCATACATACTGCAGGAATAAATGATGTAAGAGAATTAAATAATTTACGAACATTAGTCAATGACATCACATTTGATCGTACAAGATGATCAGCAGCAACACCTTTTCATATAATAAACAAAAAATTTCAATTTTCTATTTTTATCTATATATTTAGTTTTTTTTTTACCAGTTGACAGACTAACTATTGGCATAAATATAAATCCTCCAGCTAAAACATATCCTGCTTTTTGAGCAGGAACACGATGAATTTCAGTTAATAATTTACCAACATTTGTATAGAAAAAGAAAAGTCCAAACAAATTACAAAATTGTGAGATGACTAATGCAATAATAGGTTTCGAACGAAGAATTTTTTTCCAAGGCACAGAAGCAAATGAAGTAGATCGCTTTTTATTGTTATCTGTACCAATACCAATATGTTTACATATATAGTTTCGTTCTTGTTCGCTGATTGTTCGATGAGATAGAGGTGAATCAGCTACGAACCACATCCATAATGGAAACCATATGAAACCAAACACACTTGTTAAAAGAAATATATAAATCCATCCTGAACTAACATAACGACAAAAGAGGCCACCAATTAACATTGTTACAGCTTTTGAGAAAAGAAAAAAAGACATTTATTAATAATAAATACAAACAAATAAGAATGTTTATATACATGTGCCTAAATTTGTACTACAAAATCCAATTGATGTCAAAGTACTTCTTTCTAAAGGAACAGCCCACATAGACCAAACAGTATATGTAGCCGGAAATAATGGACCATGACCAAGACCTGTAATGACTCGAAAAATAACGGCAAGAATAAAATACATATCATGAAAATAATGAATGGTAACCATTGCTAATGTAGCTATCGAACTCAATAGAAGACCAAAACCAAACGTCCGTTTGGCACCTATTTTAAGCGATATCCAACCACCTGAATGTATAGAAAAAAAAGAACTTTATGAAACATTTTTTTAACACTAAAATCATGCTTTATGTTATGTACCGGGTGCTAACGTAAGAAGATATCCAAAAAAGTGAGCACCAAGTAAAATTTGTTGTTGAAATTCAGTCAAAACAAATTGTTTATCTTCTAGATATTGAGATCCATATTTAGTTCTTGTTATTGTTGTTTTATTTTGAATTTGAGTAGAATCTGTTGTTATGTTTAATGCTGTATTTATATTTGTTCTATTAACCATACAAACAATACCTATAGCTAAACTAACTCGTTGTGCATATTGAGTGAAAAGTGCAAAAGAAACAAGTAAAGCTAATGTGAAACGAGTTGATGGAATAAACTGTGGTGACGTCAATTCTTTTTTGGAAGCCATAACACTAAAAAGAAAACTATTTAATAATGATCAATAAATAAACAAGAATAAAAAAAACAAAGAGAGCAAAGGACAAGTATATATTATCTAATTTTTTTTTCTTCTTCTTCTACTGTTTTATTCTTTTGACGATTACCTAAATAAAGCCTTGCTGTTTGAATAGATTTCAGTCAAGCGTGAAAAGGATGACTAACCTATTAAAAATGAAACAGTAAGAAGCAGTGTTATGTTTATAATATATAGAAGATAAAAGATAAATATTGGAATTTGCTGAGTCTTCTCAATGTCTATAGCATAGAAAATTTTTTTATAATTTATACTTGCGCATTTTACTTGAATAATAAAAAAATGAAGATATTTTTCGTAGTACGTAATATATTATGCTTTGGTATGAAAAAAAGAATATTTCACTTTCAAGTCTTTAAAAAAAAAACAGAACAGTATTATCACAACAGCATGCTATCACGTATGGTTGATGTGAAAATATTATAAATAAATATTTTTTTATTGGCAGACACAGCATATGAAGTTTTAATTGACTCTTTATAATTGTTATAATATATTGTATTGAAATCGTTTCATATTAAATAGATAAACAATTGTTGTGTTATGTAAAATATATTCAATAAAATATTTTTTGACGTTTTCTTGAGCACTTCTTAATAACGATTATTTTATTCAAATCTGAACACATAATTTAACATCGCATTTATGAATAAATGAATTGATTAATTTATATTTTCAAATAGACTTAATTTTTATCTTTTAGCATGCATTAAAAATACGATATGATTGTACATCGTGGATTTAAATTGGGTGCATTAAACTGCAGGATACATTTATAATAAAAAGATTTCTTCAAGTAGTAATAAATCGAAAATAGAAAAAACTTTCTTGTTTTATTTCCATAACATCAAGTGCAGAATCTCTAACTAGATAAATCTAATCAAAATATCTCACCATCATTTATGAGCAATATTATTTATCTTTTCTTTTTTTTTGTTTGTCACCGTACAGTTGAATTTTCAAAATTGCTTATATTATAGTTCAATAGAAATGAAATTTGCAAAACTTTATGTTCAAACCGATATGTATGATCAATATATAACATTTTATTCATGCTAGTCTCTTTGAAATGTAGCAAATGAAAAAAGAAAAAACAATGCTCAAAGAAGTAAACGAAATAAAAACTTTTATACAAGTGTTCATGTTCGTTTTTTTTTCAACGAGAGTCATAATATTCTGTTAAATTTTCTCTATTATCGTCGATTGTTCAATTGGCTGTGTTTTCTCCGTGAATATAGACTGTTCATCATCATCATCATTGTTTGGTTCATTCTGTTGCGGAAATCTAGCCCATTGTAACGGTTCTGCTGAACCATATAATAAAAATACAATGCCTCCGATAATATAAGTGATAATAAATAGAATAAACAATTTTCGCCAATCATTGAGTACTGGCTGTTTGATTACCATACTTGCCATAATATTACCTATAAAACCACTTAACGAAGCAAATGTATTCGCTATACCAAAAATAAGTCCTGAATAAGCCGGGACAATATCAGTAAAATTAACAAGAAAACCAGAACCATGAGCAAAACCTATTTATTCATAAAGAAAAAAATAATTGTTTTTCTTTTAATCTAGTAATTGAAATTATCTGTATACGAAAATAAACTAACCTGAACCAAAAAGATAAATAAGTACAGTAATAGCACCTAATATCTTTCGTGATTCATCACAAAAACATAATATTATAATGCAGAAAGCAGAACTAAATGACGTAAGTGAATTAAATAATTTTCGAACATTTGTTAATGATATCAAATTTTTTCGAACGAGATAATCAGCAACAATACCTATTATTAAAATCAAATAAAAATCAATGAATATCACTTTTTTTTTCTTTATCAATTATACCAGTCGTTAAACCTGATAGCTGCATTAATAGAAATCCAGTGCATAATATATATCCAATATATAATGTCGAAATATGATGAATATCTTGAAGTAGTTTACCAAAAGTGTTCGAAAAAAAGAAAATACCAAAGAGATTACATAATTGAGTAATAAATAAAGCAATGATCGGTTTTGATCGAATAATATTCTTCCAAGGTAATGAAATTAACGATATGACATGTCGTTGTTTACCGTGCATGAATTTACCATTAAAATGATGAAGAAAATGTCGTTCTTTTTCACTTATAGTTTTGTGAAGTTCTGGTGTATCAGCAACATATATTATCCACCATGGAATCCATATAAAACCAAGTAAACTAGATAAAATAAATAAATATATCCAACCTGAATCAATATAACGACAAAAGAAACCTCCAATTAACATTATAATAGCTATAACAGAATAGAAAATCAATTATTGACAAATCTGTAATTTAATTTCATATACTAACCAGTACCAAAATTAATACCAGAAAAACCTAATGATGTTAAAGTACAACGTTCTTGAGGTGCAGCCCATACTGACCATAACGAATATGTTGCAGGTATAAGAGCACCATGTGCGAAACCAATTATAATTCGTAAAATAAATATGAAAGTAAAATGTATAGTTTCGAGAAGGTAAATAATTGATAGTGCTAATGTCGCAATGGAACTTATCGATAGACAATAAACATATATTCGTTTCGCTCCTATATTTATCGATAACCAACCACCTTTTAAAAAAAAGCAAAAATGAAAAGCTTTAAATTATTGTCTATTTGAGTTTTAATTACCTGGTATAAGTGTTATTATATATCCAATCCAATAAGCACCAAGTATTATCTGTTGTTCAAATTCAGTCCATGAAAATCGTTTATCTTGAAAAAATAGAATCGTATTTTTTGATGGAGTTTTTATTATTGGATTATCAATGCGAGTTAAATATGGTATTGATTCAAGTTCAGTATTAATAAATGTCTTATTAATCATACAAACAATACCAATTGATAAATTAATACGTTGTGTATATTGAACAACACAGCCGAAAAAAATAAATAAAGCCAAAGAAAAACGAGCTGATGGAATAAGCGGACAATTCATAGTTTTAATTTTCGTAGGCATTATAATAACAACAAAAAATATCTATATTTAAAACCGACGATAAAATATATTCTTTTAACTATTACAAAGTATAATAATACATATAGATTATTGAATAATTTATTCAATAACCGAATTAGTATTTACTAAATTATATGAGGGAGAAAAATGACGCATTTACTTTTGAATACGACAAATAATCTAGTTGTATTAATCTAATATGATCTGAAAGAATGGAACTACTTCACTAACAGAGATAAAATAGAAACAAAAAGAAAAGCGTAAATGAATTAATATTCCAGAACAAACAAAATCAATTGAAAGATGCATAATAAGATAATAAAACATAATGCAAAAAAATATCGATCAATCCTCAGCGGTTATTTCCGCATTTTTTTTCTTCTTTTTATGATTGCGACTCAGCTTTTATTGATTTGTTTTTGTCAATAGTTCAAATATTGCTAGAAATCATTTATTATTCAATATCTCAATCAGTGTGAACCAAGTACAATTTACAATCCATTTTATGGTAAAATATCAAATAAAAAACACGAGATTATTTTCGGATAATGCTTGATAAAAAAAATGAATCTTTAATAATACATATTTCTTCATAATATTATAACCAAGTTTATCTTTTGAATTTTTATCTCAATCTTGAGAGAATAGTTTAATACTATTTATTATTATTATAATGATCACAATGAGATAAGTCATCGGTAGTTTTAAATATGATGCATTTTATTTATTTATAATTGTTTTTTTCTTTCCATTTTTTTCTATTCAAATTAGTGATGATGTTCTAAAGGGAGATTGAGACCTCTTGCCGGAAAATTTTAAAAGCTGTTGCTAACAACAGTTCTACAGAAAGTGTGAGAAGAACTCAGCTCCAAGATACAGAATCTGCCATTAAAACCAAAAAAATGTTCTACTGTTCGAAAAAAAGGAAAAACTGGATTTTATTTTTTACTGTGATTTTTACTTAACGTACAAAAAATTCATATAAAAAACTAATCTTTTCTTAATCATGCATCAATAGATTTCTTTTTTCATTTGAGAAGATATTGAAATGTATGGTTTCATAAAAAAAAGAAGTTGCTTCAATTCCTTTCTTATCAATATGTAAATTACAAAAGCTATGTAGGCAACTCATATTCTGATTGCTACAGGACAAACATTTTATTCGAGTTTTCAAGTGAAATCATTCTTCGACATTCAATCATTTTCCAAATTTTCCTCAAGCTTGAAAGATTCTTCTCAATATGCGTTGGCGCATACAGATAGATTCTGTACGTCTGAGTCAGTCTCCCTTTGGCCACAAACTCTAGAGACATTGGCAATTTAAACATATCATAATATTATCTTGCAGTTATTCTGAGGAAAAAACAAAGTGGAAATTACCATCAGTTACATCTGGCATAGTCTGTAAACTTATGATGTGGAATATATTAATTATGGCACTGCATAGAATCTAATAAAAAAAAGGCTGCAATTTATCTATGACCAATATCATAGTAAAACTCGACTATCATTCAATTGATCAGTAGAATAAATGAAATGGTGAGTAAGTACAATAAAAAGAATGATCACTTATTATAATAATTAGATTTATTGATTTACATAAAAAATCAGTAAATTACATTAAATGGTAAGTATAAAAATTAAAGTGTGTTATAGGATGTAGATGTGGGTAATATCTCTTGCTTACTCACATCGACATTTCTGTTAGTATAGTTATTCGGTTTGAAATATTGAAAACCATGCTCAGCATTAATAATAGTGCCGATCGGTAAGAAAAGGAAAGGAGATAGACCAGGAAAGGTCAAATCTGCTTTATTGGTACACTATTTGAATTTTCGTTTTTTTTTCATGCATTCTTTGAATTTCTATTGAATATTCTGTTAGATATATTCTAATTTATTCTTGTTGTACAAACGTGAATAAACACAAAGATGCCATATATGATTGTCTGTTTGCTATAAACATGAGAAAACAAATATCTAGTTCATTTTTTATCGAAACATCTTTCTTCATAAGAAAACCAAAGACCGATCTCATCGATTAAAAAATATTGATTGTTTTTTTTTCAAATTGTAGATACAAGAAATGATTCAATTTCTCAAAGGGCTAGATTTATATCGAATGATATATATGTTTCTCTGTTTTTTTTATCATATACTTGCTTTCTTTTGTATTCTTTAGTATGACCTTGGCATTTCTATCTATTAACATTCTTGTTATTGTGTATTTTTTTGATAGTGTTATACAAAACTTTTCAGTGTAAATATTTAAACATATGCAAAGTACGAACTAATTTACTTTTCAAATTCATTGATGTCTGTGTTTTTCTTTGTAGTATGTTATTTTGAAAACATATATCAGAATATTTGCCAACAACATATTACTATCGAAATATCTTGAATGACAAATAGATTTCTAATGATTGATGGACAAAATATCAGTTAATGTCTCAGTTATTTATTATTCAGAATATGTCATAAAAATTCTTTTGATTACTTAGATAATCATAGAAATAAAGTAAACGTACGATTATCAATGACAAGTATTTGTGGAAAATTCATCATGTTCAACAATTATTCAGATGACTATATGATCCAATAAACTGTGTATATAGTCCGATCATCTATGCAAAAAAAATCCTCTTTAAAATAAATTCATGTTAATAATGATACATAAATTTCTATTTAGAATCACTTCATGTAAGATCTGACATTTATTGAAACAAATTTGAGTTATGTTCGTAATAGGTTTTTATTTTGTACTACTCATATCTCACACAGAATAATAAAATGATATCTACTTTATCAATACAGTTTATAAAAGAAACGATGATTAGAAATTATGTCAAAAAAAAAAGAACAACATTAGCTCTCGGAATTTTTTTTAACGAAAATTACATTGGTATCAATATTGAAGTAATAATACCAGTTATGAAAAATAAAATTAATACTAATAAAACAAAAATTTTTATTCGAATTGATGTCTTCGTACTCTTGTTATCAACATTGTTTCTTGAATCTAAATCTATTTCTTGAGTTTGTTCATCATTAGTAGAAACAAGCACAACATTATTTGGATTAAAATCAATCCGTATAAGTGCTGCTTTAGCATGACGTTCCCAATTAAAACGTTGTATCAAAGTAAATAAAAGAGTATTAGTTACTGTTTCAGCAGCTATAATACCAATCCAAAATCCATATATATCAATACGAACATAAAACATTAATAAAGCTGCAAGAGGAATACCGAATACGTAAAAACCAAAAAATGCAATCATGGCACCACGTTTTTGTTTTCCACTACAATCAAAAATAAAATAGAACAACAAAACAACTACTTCGTTTTAGAATTTTACCAAGCTTTAACAATGCCTGTATTAATAACATTATATCCGTCCCATATTTGACAAAGAGCAACAAGTAAAAGAACACGTCGAGCTAATGTTAATGCATCACTTTGCGTATCATAAGCAAATGGAAACCAATAATGGAAAAGTATAATTAAACATATATTAATAATAATAATAATAGCACCAACTACATATGTAACATTTTTCGTATTAGCTGCTTTCATAGGTTCTCCACTACCTAAAAGTTGACCAATACGTATATTAGCTGCTGTAGCAAATGATGATGTGACTAAATAAAATAACCATGCTGTTTGATAAGCACATACTTGTGCTGATAATGAACGAATACTAAGATGAGCAGCAAAAAATATGCTTAATTCAATTGACCAAAACTCTGTCCTGTGAAAAAAACAAATAGAATAAAACTTTAAATCAATTAAAATCTTTAAAAAATTTTTTACGTACATAATCATTAAGATACCTGGCATGGATAATTTTAAATAAATAGTCCATTCATTTAAACATGCTCCATTTATTGGATACCATGTTTCATTATAAATTGATGAAAATCGAATATATAAAAATGCACAAAGTGTAATTATACCATATGAAATAGTAATTGATATAGGTACCGCATGTATACCCAAATGAAATTTATATAAGAAAAGATAATTTAAAAGTCCATTGACACCATTACCAATCAAATTGATTACTAATAAAGGCCATGTTTTTTCATTTGATGCTATATACTTTTGAAGTAACATTGATAATCCATCAAATGGAACAGCAATAACGAATGAACGTAAAAAAGCATCAGCTAATCGAACAACTTGTTGATCGTGCTCAACTAATCTTAATACATATTTCTATCGAATGAAAAAAAATTGAAAAAAAAATAGATATATATGTATATATTAAAATGATTTAACATGTCAACTCGAAAATTCTTTTCAATATTTCTTAAAATAAATTTTGTCTTTATGTCTAAATAGATCATTACCGCATTCAGCATCAATGTCCAAGAAATCAGACACGAATATCCGGTTATAATAACAGCTCGTTGTATAGTTAAACCCATTTTACGTTTATTTCCACCAAAACATTGCGGTAATAATGTATCACAACCGAAATTAAGTCCAAGCATTAAAGAATTGGCAATAAGGATATAAGTAGAAAAAGCTAAAGCACAAGCATTTAATGTAATTTGTCCATGTGCATGACCTACAAACGCAAGTGAAACAAATGCGATAAGCCAAGAAGCAAGAATATTTCCCAATGCGAATGGAAAAGTAATTTTAATTAATTTAAATGCTTCATCACGAAATCCAAATGGAAAACATTGTTGTATTAATGATGTTGATGTTTTTCGTACTGATGCTTCGGCCATCTAAAGAAGAAATAACTATTTTAAAATAATGCATGTAGATCAATTTTGAAAGTTTATGATAGATAGCAAAAAGATTGATGTAATTTTTAGTCTTTATATATAATAATACTTGCGCAGGTGGATTATCAGTTAATAAATCTTCATCGATATTATTCGATGATTTTTCAATGAGACTCTCACTTTATGTTATTTGTAACATTAATATTGTCGATAAACTATTCTTGATCTAAAAACAAGTAAATATTAATATTTTTCTCCGTCTTTTTATTCACTAATAAATAATTGACAGCTTTATCTATTAATCAAAATAAGTTATTTTTGTTTGGTAAAATCATAACATTCATGATAATACGTTGCAATACATTACTACTCAACATAAACAATCAATTAGCTTCGATATCATTTTTGTGTTTTTTTTTCTGAGTCAATCTATATAATGAGTTATTGTTGAGAGCTTTATGAGTCAGCTTGTATTTTTATTTTGCATGTTAGACGAAAAAGAATGTTCTTTTGAGTATTAAACAAAAAAAGAAGGAAGGACGAGAACTCAATATAATAAACAAGGCGAGAGTTTAATGCTTTTGGTTAATGTTGGAAAAGAAATTCTTAGAAAAGAAAAAGACCTTTTCCTATACTCAGAAATACGAACTCCAGCCTCATTTTTATCGTAACGTTAATAACAGAAGAAGAAAAAAGAAGAAAAAAGAAACGAAAAAAAAAACGAGAAGGAAGAAAAAAGAAGAACGACTAGTAGCAGCCATTTCTTTTTATTGATAATGCGTTGGTTTTGCTGCTGTCGTTGATGTTTTTTGTTGTTCAGCAGTCGGCAGAAAGAATAAAGATAGAAAGAGAGAAGAGTATAAATGCATACATCATCGTACACAAAAACAATGTCATAGACACAACGATACACTTAAATTAAAAAAAAGAAATCGTCATTTATTCCTTGATCAAACATTTAGAAACTCTACAACTCATTATAGTATGCTAGGGTAAGTCTATTGCATTTGTCTTTAGAAATAAGTATTCTAGTATTATTTGATTCAACGTGCGTGTTTCTAAACTTTATGATTTGCAGAAATTTTACCATTTCCGATTATGTTGATTATTTTCCTAGATGAACTTCAATGAGATTATTGTATCGAAAATAATTTGATAACATCTAAGTACAAATTACTAACGTAAGACATTTGTAATTTGCCATTTTGATAAAAAAAAAGATGTAAAATAAAAGATAATTTTTTCAAAAATTTTTAAATCTTCAAAAACAGAAAAACATTAATTGAGATCACATATGATTCATTATGAAGAATATTGACTTTAGTTTCTTTTTAATAGATACACTTACAGTGTTAAATCATCAAGCAAATATTGTAACTTGAATCTGAATTTTATGTTTTTTTTTCTTTTCAAAATGTACATAGTACCAAATAGAAAACAAACTTAATTCATTCCTCTCTTACATCTACATTTAAAAATAGTAGAACTAATTTTCTTTGTCACCTTAGAATGGCGACTAGTATAATTTAAACTGGACCAACAATAATTTAATGAATGTTTTATATAAAAGTAAATGATGACAAGACAAAAATGTATCAAACATGTTCATCAATTTTTTTTTGCTACATGAACTTGTATACGGTAGTTTTTCTTTCTTGACATGCAGAAAAAAAGGAGGATCACGACACTATAGATTTATCTGCATGACAAGAAGAAAAGAGAAAAGTTTTACTCGTGTTGTTTTATTACTCAGAAATGCGTAATCATTTTATTATTAGAAGCAAAAAGTGTGTTATTCAATTTTTAGGATAAAACTGTAAGAAAGAAAAGAATTTTTTCACCCTTATATTTTTTTCTACTTGTTCTAACATTTAAAATTAATGTTTTTTACAAACAAAAAAAAATTATTTTGTCATTCCGAGTATGTTCATCAAGTCTAACGTCTTTTTATTCTGTCCTATTTCTTTTTTCTATGACATTTTCAAAAATATGAGTAACAGGCAATACATATATATATATATATGAGGCGGGAGAAAATTAAACAACAATTATTGTTATTCATTTCTCCTTTTTTTCTATATCATTATTTTTATTCAAAAGAAATTGATCGAGTTCTAGTTTTGAGTCGGTCAGCAACATAACAAGAAAAAATAAATATGACAATGTCATTAAGACTATCATCATTGTCATCATTAACATTTGGCCAATATTCGATTTGGTAAGATAAAGAAACCTAAGGCTATGTCAATCAATTAGAAATACAGATTTTCGTGTAAATGTTAAATATTGGTTTGCCTATATTTAATAGTGTTGACAATTCGCAATTGATAAAACTAACGAAAGTATACGACTATATGTGATACATATGAAAAAGAAAAATCTCATTATAAGAGAACGAAACGAACCGTGTAAACTTATTTGATTCATTAATCATCTAAATGTGTAGCAACCTTGTCTTTTTTTTTCCATTTACCTAAACAAATTATCTTTCACGCCCAACGTTGATGCCCAGTGTCATGGCTGTATTTATATACGTATATATACTTTGAGACAACGTGTATGAGAATAAAAAGGATAAGGGTTTCTTTTTCGATTGATTCAATAAGAACAGAACATGTAAAATGTCGATAAATAAATTTATAAAAGTGATATACATCTAGGCAAGGGCCAATGAAAGACAAGCAGTGATGCACAACCATATCTATTCTTTCTTTTCATTCGTAGTTTAATGCACGATTCTTCAGTTAGTATTGACTCTAAAATAGACAAATAAATATTCAACAATGTTAGCTTCACCAAATGTTATGTACGTAAGCGAACTCTAGGTTATGTGACAAATAAAAGTGAATTAGTTAAATTTAGAAAAACCAGATACAGAAACTTTTCTAGTTACTATTGCTAGAACTGTTTTTATTTATTTAATTAAAACATTTAAAAGATACTTTTTCTTCATATTCCAGTTATTCACGTTTACTTGTTCGTCATCATTGGCTCGTACTTGGTTTTGTTGTTTTTATTTCAATTATATTAACAATAGCTGGTTTTGCTTTTACACAATTACCAGATTTTTCTGATCCGAGAATAGTAATTGAAAATTTAGACAAAAGAAAAGTTTTCATTTTTTCTGGTTTTTGTATTTAAAAAAAAATAGGGATGGGGTGCACGTGGAAAAGGTACAATTTTTTCTCAATTAATGGTTTTACGACATGCATCAGAAAAATTTCGTCTTGCTTATGAATTACCATTAGAAACAAATGAATTATTTGGTGCATTTAATCAATTTTCTAATGTAACTGTTGATGATCTTGATGAAAATTCTTATCGGTTTGATATACTTGCTAAATATGATTTATGGAGAAAGAAAAATTCCCTTAAACAATATGATGAATTAATTGATTATAAAACTTTAAATGATTATTTTTATGACAATGATCATGATGATAATGAAACACCAGATTATGATGAAGATAATTCTCAAACATCATTACTTTATCAATGGCATCGTGATAGACATTTTGATGTTAGAAATTCAATTATAAAATATGTTGATGATAAAATGTATATTTATTCTTTTTATAATTGCATTATTATTTCTAAATAAATATGTTTTTCATTTTATTTTTAGGATTAATATAACTGTATTAGAATTTGTTAAAAATTTACCACAATTTAATCGAAGTAATTATCAATCAGCTAGATTACCTTTTGATCTTTTTCGGCCATATGCATATCTACTTGAAGAAAAATATCGTGGACGAACAGGTAATACTAAATTCTTTGTTCTTGAGATTAACATTATAGAACAAAAAAAAACAGATACATTCTATATAGATTTACAATTATTTTGTCGGCAAAAATCTTTTTGTTTTTTACAAAATTAGTTAGATCAATAGTTTTTTGTGTAGAAAATGTTATTTATCAATGAAATTAGTCTATTTATTGAAAATTAAGTATTTTCTTTCGTATTATTTTGAAGTTAAGGTCAAGAAGATTAGAAACAAAACATATAGATATACTAAAAGTAATATTGACTCTCTTAACAATCATTCAAAATTTGACGTAGATAAAGTTTGATACAGAATATATAATTACATTGACAAGAATGTTGTATCTGATGAAATTTGATATATGAAATATGTCTATAAGTAAATTGATGGCATTGATTTCAAAAATAAAATATAACTTAACAAAACAATACAAGTGGGAGTTTTCATCATTGAATTAAAACTATTCGATTTTCCCATTTAAAAATACTCTAACAATATGATATCGACTAGTTATCACAACAATTCATTCGAACATAGTGTATATTCGAATTTTAATAAATGATTTGAACTAGAATCAAACTGTAGATATTTTTTTCTTCATCTTAATTCATCTTTCAATCTTTGAAACTGTGTAACGTTGTCATGCAAATATATTTTTTTATTGTTTTGATACTTTAAGACAAAACCTTTTGGATTTCTTTTGTCAAAATTGCATAGTAAATATATGTATGTAACTTTAATTGAAAACATCTGACTTCTTGCATTACAAACAGACGTTCAATACTAATGATTGTTACCTGTCATGCTACTTGTACCAATCTTTAAAGCATACATTTGTGTTTTTTTTTTTGGAAGTTACATAGGTTTTTCGAGGGAAAAAATAGTGAGTGTTAGTCTAAAATCAAGGTTTTTCGTCTCCTTCCTCAACTTTTCAATTTCATAGCAACCGAGGTCTTAGATTATTGGGTACATGTCAATCGTAACCGAGATTAACAAATGTCGGATTTCTTTCTCAAACTTCCTTAGCAATGGAAAAAGACGTTGAACATCATTAACAACAAGATTTCGACTGTTCTAGAATATGACAAAGTCTTTTTTGAAATTGAAACGATTGAAATACGTTTGTCAATGGTTTGAATAGTATAGATTTTTATTCAAGATGCCAAGAATGATCGATGGACATGCATTGATTTGTCACGGTTATTATATAATCAACATAAAAAGCATGAAAATCGATCAAGTTATAATTTTGAAGATCAATCAATATCAATGTTTTTGAGTTTGTCGAGATATATAATTGTGTATTGAGAACTGCTGTAGATGTAAAATAGATATGTACAATAGATTTATTTGTCAATTTAGTATCAAGGCTAGATCGTCAGTAAAAATCAAAAGAACTTTCTGTTCGAAATACGGAAATAAATAAGGCAAGTTGTTTTTCTACTGATTAATTGTCGTTGAAAACCCACGATAATCTGCTTGAGATTTTTCACTTGACATCTTTTGTATAAGTATAATAATAGTAAAGAACGCATATGAGTTCTACATTTTCGACTCTAAGAGACTTTGTCATGACAAACTACTTTTGTATTAAGATTATTTCTTATATGAAATATTTAAACTTCATATTTCAGTTCTATATGGCTTTGATTATAAGTTTTTTTCTTTGTATTATTTAAAAAGAAAGACTTTCTTCTATGTAATGATAATTATGATTAATAATGTTCATATTAATTAAAAGGTCGTGATGGTATGATTGAATTTTATATTGAACGTACAAAATCAACAGATGATTTACTTTCTCTTGAACATTTACAATCAATTTGTCAATGGGAAAAAAAATTTAAACATCTTCTTTTACTTGATAATACACCTAGTCTTTCATTAGCAACATTTGTTGCTTTATATTCATCAAAAAATGATTGTCAATTAATAACATCTATAGATGTTCAACGTTTTCGTTCAATAATTCATACATGTTTACCATATTATTTAAATGGTTATATGGATATACCATTAAGTGATATATTTCTTAATCGTGTTATATTAGAACATCAACCAGGTCATTTTAGTCATCAAGAACAAGTTAAAACTGTTTATACAGCATTACGTCATACATGTTTTTATAAAAATATAACACGTTTTATATTTGATCATTTTATGGATAAAAAATTTATAAATGATTTTCAACAATCAAAAAATCATGCAAAAGTATCATTATCAATGATATTTATATCAAATTATAAAAGTATAAAATATAATCATACACGTGATCAAATTATGTGTTTAAGACGACAACCATATTCAAGAAAATATTGTCAAGAACGTGGTTGTATGAATGATTTTAAAAATAATTATTTATCAAAATCATGTTCAAATCAAAATTTAACAATAAATGATTGTCATAAATATTGTCAATGTAAATATCAATGTCCACATGAAATTGAACAAATTGCTTTAATGATACCAATATATAAAGGACAAGAATTAGTTGATTTCTTTGAACAATATTTTGCTGGTAAAAGACAATTACCAACATATCAAGATAAATTTATTAAACTAATTGCTTTAAATTTTGCTAATATTCGAGAACGAGCTGCTATGGCAAGAATATCTGAAGGTAAATTTCTTTTTCGTTTTTTGTTGAATGATCATTAATTCTTATTATTATATTTTTTGTTTTCTTATCAAGATATGCTTCTTGTTTTAATTGCAACAGCATTGATTATTGGCATAACAGTACTTTATTTACGAAGTGTTTCAATAGCTTTAATTATTGTTGTTGGGGCAGCTTTATCAATTGGTGTAAGCTTTTTTATTTATCGTGTTGTTTATCGCATACCTATATTTCCATTTATGAATCTAATGTCGGCATTTATATTAATTGGTATTGGATGTGATGATATATTTGTATTTTTTGATACATGGGATCAAGAAAAAGTTGAATGGTTAAGAAAATATCAAGAGAGACAACAACTTGGTAAGAAATTTATTTTACAAAAGCATAATTATGAAGAGAATTTTGAAGTTAGACTCCGTTATATTGATTCCGAACTTGAATCTCACGAGTTCTAGTCGTCTGAGAAGTGTGTAGGATGCACTAGTCATTGGATAAGAAAAATTGGAGAAAAGTATCTTGTATCTTCGAAGTGACTATATGATTCCGATTAAAAAATTTCATTGAGAATATCAAAGTATGTTCCAGGTTTGGAAAAATTTCGGTCAACCGAGTCTCATTCCCTCGAACATTTATAAACCAGATTTGGGTCCGAAGATTTTGGATCCGATGGGTTCAACCACTTGCAGGAAAAAATCGCAATAATTGCCAACATTGACACTATTTTTGATGGCTTTCTTTCAGAAACTTAGAGCACTGCTGTAGTATCCAAGGTTTCATGATTATGCCAGTACCTTCCCTTTGAAAGACGTGACCGGCAAAGAAGATAGAAATTAAGATACTTGTCTTTGACTCTTTCCCAAACTCACTATAACAGATTCCAAATAATATATTTCATTACGGGCATGTCATAACGTTGAAAATACCAAACTGCAACATTTACAGTAAAATTCTTTGATTTATAGTATATGTAGATTGGTCGTCTCTCACATTCTATGTCCGTAGGGATTGTGTTAACAGCTTCCTTGTCTTGTTATTATGATGAAAATTCATTAATTTTTGTTTTTATGTAGATGTAAATATTCCATTAAATGAAACAAATGATGAAAAACAAATAAAAAGAAGTAAATTAAAAATACCATCAAATGCATTTCAAACGCGTCATAGATTATCTTTATTCAATGATCCAGAAGAAATGAGAAGACTATTATTAAGTGAAGAAGCATTAACTGAAATAATGGCTAAAACATTAAAACATGCTGCATCATCTATGTTTGTTACATCGTTTACAACATCAGCTGCTTTTTTTACAAATATGTTAACAAATATTTCATTTGTACAAGTTTTTGGAGTTTTTACTGGAACTTGTATTTTACTTTATTTTGTTATTACAGTTACAGCTATTGCAGCTTTTGCTGTAAGTTTAGATTTATATAGATAATTTTATATAAGAGAATTCGTACATTGATTTAACGGAGACATTTTCTTTTTTTTAAACATATTGACTTATATGTAGTCGACAAAAGTTATCTTTTAAAATGGATGGACAGTCTTTTGTTTTGAGAGATGTTACATATTGATTTTTCTTATTTAAAAAAAAAGCAATTTTTTTTCTTTCCTAGATCATTTATGAAAAATATATACAAAATATAGTATCTCGTTTACTTTCAATACGTCTTACAAATGTTGTTGATACATCATCAAGTGGTTCATCAGCAAAATTATGTCGTCGTCTGGCAACTATTTGTCGAGATATTCGAAATTATATTTTTGGTCATTTTATGTCACTCATTATAATTAATTTACGTTATATATTAGTCTTACTCTTTTTACCTATGGGTGTCTTAGGTTAATAATGTTTGTTTTTTTTTACTAAGTTTTTATATTTTTCTTTTACTTTTATTTAAGGTCTTGTTGGTGTTTTTCATTATCCAAAATTACAAGTACCATCAACACAAAAAGTTGCATTCTTTTTAAAAGATAATCCAATGGAAATCTATGAATTTTCCATGAAAAATACTTTTAATGGTTATTCAAAAGAAGAAAAACGTTTATTTGCATATCCAGCTGTATCATTTATATTTGGTATACGTGATATTGATGATGGTTATATATTTGATATGAATGATCGTGGTCATCTTCATTTAATGCCTATTCATTTGGAACGTCAAATAACATTAGATTTTTTTAAAAATTTTATATCACATTTAGGAACAAGAGCAGATTTATTTGGTTCAAACTATGATTTGGAGAAAGATTTTGAAACATTTTATCAAGTAGAATTCTTTTTTTTTTCTTTCTTAAACATTTATTCAGAATAATTTTGTTTGCTATGTTTAGCTCACAACAGAAGATATTTTAATAGCAAAAATAGCTGATGATTCTGCTAAAAAAAATTTAACTCATACTAATAATTTAGATATGATTAAATATATAGCAAAAACAAATATAAGTTTAATACAAAATTTAGTTCGTGATACAGTACGTACAATTGATTATAAAATTGAAAATGATCAATCTGATGATGATGATTATATTGATATTAAATCAAATAAAATTAATATAACTTTAAATAAAATTAGTAGAAAACAATTAAGTAATTTAACAAATCCAATTATTATTTATTCAAATTATAGAAAATTATTTAATAAAACTTTACAAAAATATTATAAAGAACAGGTTTGTCAAAAACATATAGGTTTTCTTTCTTATTGAAAATAAAATTCTAGATAAAACATAGTTATGATATAAATGAAATTCGTAATTCATTAAATGAAACAATACGTGATAAACTTACTGAAGATTATCATCGTTCAGCATTAAAAACAGCTATGCAATGTTTAACTGGTGTAGCTGGTGCTAATAATGTACCAGAAGATTTTTGTGAACGGCAACTCAACAAACAACGTTCTGTGAATTGGGCAGTTTTACCTGATAAACCATCACCAATCGATGGAAGTGTTCGACCATTTGCTGTTATTATTACTATTCGAGGTATAGAAAAAAAATACAGGGTATTGAAAAGTGATAAACAGTGTTTTTTATCCAAAAATTTTCTTTCTTAGAGTAGCGAATTAAAACTTTGCAAGGGACAACAAAACAGATATATAGTACGTGATACAATAGCTATAAATTTTCAAGAGTGTAAATTCGATTTTAAAAGAAGTGCTATTCCATTAGCTTCGACGATAGATGAAACACTAGTAGCCGTACAGCATAATATTAACCATTGAACACTAAGTTTTCTCTATAATGTGCTACTATTGAGAATCATGATTATGTTTAATGAATCCCTAATCGACTTTTACGATTCAATTACTGTCTGTTAGAAGTTGTTGAATTGATTCCGGATCCAGGTTTGAAAATTTAGGACTTGATAGGCTCGATTATCTGTCCAAAATATAACGACAGTAGTAAGAGTTAATGATATGTAACTACCATCCCGCGAAATCGAAATCATCAATATATATGAGTTGGACTTATTAAAGACGACCACTTAATTGAAATAATTGTTGGTATAGAAAACATCAGATCGATTTTTCAAGAGTATATTGTTTTCTTTCTAATAAATAACATTTCGAATCATGAATAGAGATGTGCGAGACTAAGTTATTTTTGTTCTGATTTCGGTAACTTCTTTTCTAGTGGCCTCTACGAATTTCATTAGGTTCCGATTCTAGAGAAAATTATTTTAGAATTAATTTGTATTACAACTAAAAGTACTCTTCAATATTCCTCTTCGATTTATTTAGTAGACGATTAATACTTATTTGTGTCATCTCTCTTGAATTATATTCTAATTTATACGATTTATAAGATAATACACTAAAGATCTTCCTCTCAAAAAAAAGGTCAATTTTCGTTAGAATGATTAAAATTAAGTTAAGCGCAGAGAAAGATAGCCTGAGATCTGATCTTTTGAAAAAGACATAATTTGTTTATTTGGTATCTCGGTTTTTGATTACGCTTCTAAGAATTTTTGAAAAAGCTTCATTATCACTAATTGGTTTGTCTTGCTTGAAAGAATATGTCAACATGTAGAGCGTGTTGAATCTCTTTTTTAAATTAATCTCGTTGTAATTATATAAGATTGCTTTAATAATTGGAGTACTATTTTTTTGAGTTTTTCATGACATCGAACTTTTTCCTCTTAACAATTAAAATTTAAAAGCAAGAACTCTGTCGTGGCCTACGTCGTGATATTCTTTCTCAAACAAAAAAACCTTAGGGACGTCTAAAAAGAATTTTGGGTTGTCCAATGAGTTATTTTCAACCCTTGTTTATGAAATATCTACCGAAAAACATAATACTATAGGACTGAAAGTTTCATGCGATGTGAATAGAACTGGCGAGATCTTTAAAACACAGAATATTTAAGTATAATCTTTAATTTCGATCGGGTCCTGACCTCGTAGTCCTTTAGTCATCAATTCTTTTCATGCTAACATCATCTTCAACAAACAAAAAACAACTTTTATTACATCTCGGAATCGAGAATAGTCATCATTTATATGAGAATCGAATATAATAAACCTAATTTGATGCTATTTTTTCAAGGTGCACTTAATCAGACTGATTATGATTCATACAATACATATTATTTCAAAGTGAAAAATTTCTTTGATCCATATATAAAACAACATGCACCAAAACATTTACAGCATGCATGGTTTTCTTCTCCGGGCTTTGCATTTTATGGTGTTCAACGTGAATTACTTGTTGGTTCTTATTCATCTTTAATTGCATCACTTGGAATTGCTTTACTTGTACTTTTTCTTACATCAGGCAATTTATTTATTGCAGTTTATGCTTTGATTACAATTACTTTTGCTATTGGTAACTAAAGTTGTTTTATTTTTGTGTTTTCTTTTATAGAAATTGTTTTTGCTTATTTTAGCTGTTAGTGTTGCAATATTTGCTGCATTAAAATGGGAATTAGGAATAGTTGAAGCTATTATTGTTATTATGTCTGTGGGTCTTTCAGTAGATTTTGTTGTTCATTTTGGTGTTGGTTATATTCATACAGATTCAACAGATATTGATCATGAACGAAAAAAAATAAAACAACGTTATTTATCATCAATATCAATGCCAATAGAATCTCCTAATAATATTGATATACGACCTTCTCGTAGTAAGTCATTCTTGTCTATTAAAAAAAAAAGCAATACTACTATCGCAATTCCTGCAGGATTAAAATATGAAAGACGATATAGCTGCTGTTGCTAATCACAGGAAGATAGTATGTTTTTATATATTTTGGGTCACATTTCTTCATTATCCGTTTATTTAATCCTCCACAAATGCAATAAGGAAGTAATTCAAATCTTATAACAAGACGTTATTGATATACGGTCTCTCATCGTATAGCAATAATGCTTGTTATGGTTTTTGACTAACATCTGTCACGACATTTGAGCGGTGCAAATTTCTACCCAATATATTTCAACACTCGTGTTAGATCGTGTTTCACAAAATAAAGTAAAATATGTTTTGTTGATTCTTAGAAATGAGTACTTATCATTTAATATATAAACAACAACAAATTGAACGTGAAACACGTGTAACAGAATCAATATCTCGTGTTGGTTCAGCTGTATTTATGGCTGCATTTACAACATTTGCAGCTGGATTTTCAATGACATTATCATCACTTACCGCATTTCGACAAATGGGACAATTTTTAATGACAATTAGTATGTCATATATATTTTTTTGTTTATTAGTTACAAAAATACTTGAATTATTCTTTTAGTGTTTACATCATGGGTATTTTCAATGTTTTTCTTTTTACCATTATGTGCTATAATTGGTCCTGTTGGTAAATGTGGCTCGATACCATTTACTCGAATTGGTGAATATTTTAAACGGTGTTTATTATTTCGTTGTCAACGTCACAATTCAAACGACATTATAAATGAATAAAATCTTGTTTTGATATACAAAACAAAAACAAATCTAGTCAAAAGCTATCCAAAACGCACAATTAAAATGCATAGAACTCCACATTTTTCCTTTTTTGTTTTCTACTCCATACATCCTTTTGATTCCCCGTCCACCTTGAATATGTTTTTTTTGTCAGATAGAATACAAAAAAAAGGACCTTTTAAAATTATTTTTCATTTAAAAAACAAATATGAAATTAATGAGCTCTGAAATTATATACTATTTAAAGTGAACTATGTTTACAGGGTTTATTTTTTGCTTTGATTTTATATAGCTCTTAAAATAAGAAAAAAAACAAAAATATTTAATTCATATAAATCCGTAATCAATTATTTTTTTTTGTCTTTTGTTTTAAAACAAAACTCAATCGTGATGTATGAGATCTTCTTTTTTTTTTGTTTTTTTTTGACTTATATTTATTAATCTTATTTTTTTTTTTTGTTTTAACTCATTTAATTTATGTTTACAAATTGTCGTTTATTTCATGTAATCCGTCTGTGTTTGTATGAAATAGAAAAAATAAAAATATTTATTTCAAAACAAAATGCATAATATGTGTCAATGCTTGTTGTTTTTTTTATTTTTGTAATGTTTGAGACGAATTGATAGATAAATGCCTAAAGGAAAGGATTTTATTAATGTTTTTATAGTTAAATGAATCAACTACATTCATATGATCATAATCGATTCGTGTTTTTTTTTCTAAGAACGACAAAAAAAAGTTTCAGATTATTGATGCATATGATCGTCTCATAAATATGTATAATCATGAGATTGAAGAAAAGTGCATTCTTGTCCTAGGAGAAAGTGCAAATGATTTGTGAAAATATTGGTAAATTCTGTTTTTTTTTTATATAAAAGAATCTGAGTAGAAATCATCAGGTTTCTTCTTACTTTGTAAACTTTATAACATGAAAGTAAGAGTATACAACTCTATCTTGATGTCGGTTTATTAATATTTCAAATCTCTTTTTAACAAAAGCTTAAAGAATATCAAGACACGCGATACAGTCTTGCAGAAAAGAATTAGACAACCGACGAATAGAGCCCTGTGAATTTAGGTTTTTTTCTACTCCACCTCCAAATATTGATTATATAAATTTCATGTCGATTTTTTTCTGTAATACTAACTCGCATAAAGATCTAGCTTGTCAGTTCTCAAAGCCTTAAAATAAATGCTTCTTTTCATTATACGAAGAAACAGAGCAATTGTATATCCAATGACATGTCTTCCTAAATATTGACAATATTGCTGTTCTATTGTTTGTTAATTCCAAACTGTGTGCATCATCTAGGCTTTAATAAGCTAGGAATAACTGGCAAAAAGTTTGGCGCCTTAGCTTTATTATTGCCGTAATATTAATTTTTTTATGATTTCTTTTTGCATAATACAATGGTCTTCATTAGAGACACTAGGAAAGTTAAATTCTGAACTTCGATTTGAATCTTTGTACAGTGAACTAGTTTAACAAGAATAATTCATTGTTATGCTTTCAAATCTTTTCATCGTGCCTATTCTATTGTATAGCTATGATAAAAGCGTGGCTTTCACATCGCTCATATACATCGACAGATTCGTTATTCTTACATCGAGTTAAGATCAAGCCAAAGATCTGGAAGTTTTACAACGAACTGATTAGGCTGCTTAAGCCCCTTCTTTATGCAAAGGTTCAAAGCGAAATTTGAGATTCAACTTTCCTCGTGTCTCTAACGAAGGCTGCAACATTCTGCTAAAAAATATTGTAAAAATTCCATATCATGGCACCAATATGTTAAGGCTTCAAAATCTTTGCTAGTTATATCCATAGCTTATGAGAGCCTACATAAACTACATAGTTTCCACTTAACAAACAATAGACCAGTTGGAAGCTATCATCGTTAGTTGTCTAATTTTTTCTTGCAAGAGAGCATTGGATATGTTGATCTCGTAAAGGTTTTGTATACAAAACAGATAAAATTTTAATAAGCCGACATCAAGGTCATTGTTTAATATTTCAACATGGAAGATAAACTTGATAGGTTCTTGTGAGACCTTTTCTTAGAAATTTAATTCATTGAAGCCTTTACATTGAAACAATGTCAACGCTTGTATGTTTGTTGTTAAGAATATGACAAAAGAAATTCATTACTCAATTTCTTACTCTCGAAGATCTGTTAGATATACGTGATTTTATATTAAATCCTCTAGACGAACGTCTTGTTTACGTTGTCCTATAAGACTATAGTTGATTTTTGTTGTTTAATAATATGATTGATTACAAAATTTCATTACTCTAAGGCAATAGTAATAAACTCAATTTTCGATCATTCATTAACGTTCTTACTTGATTGCGCCCTAATGAAATAACAATTGATTCATATACAAAAGAGAAAAAATTACTATTTCTATGTGTTGTTTGTATTCGTCAATTATATTAAAATATATAAATAGATTCTAGTTTAGATTTACGATCATAATGAGTTAATAGAAATTCTTAAAATGATGATTAATTGCTTTATGAAAAACTAATAAAAAATCAATTTTTATTAATGTATCCATGGAAATATTCATCATAAATACATATGAATTATTATTGATTATATAAGAGCAGAGTTGACATGTTTTTATTTGTTTTGTTCATGTTTACTTTCTTATTCTATGAGATACTGATGGACATCTAACAATAAGATTTAAAAAATTGTGCATTAGATTATCAAATTATTCATATTGATGAGAAAATATCAATGAAATTTTTAAACTAAAGATTTCTATATTGTCAGTTTCTTCTTTATTTGACATTATGATTGCATTTAAAAAAAACAATTAGTCTAAACAACCTCCATTAAAACATATACAGAGATTTTCTTTTTAGTTCTACAAGAAGTTAATGTATTTTGTGATAGTTTTCAATGCTATCATTGTTTTTAAATATATCATTCACTTTTTAATACAAAGCTATAATTTTTCTTTTTTGATCTGAATAGTCCTTCTCAGGTCATGAGAAGATGCTATTTATTATTATGAACATCAACTAAACTACAGTCTAATTTTTAAGAAGTATTTGAATTCTTCCTGTATTTTGAAGAAGGAATTTAATAATACAAAAATCTGCTAAGATTTCATGTGATTTATATTGACAGCAGTGCGAACAAGCGTATAACATGATAAAGTTTCAAGGTATTCGATTGTATTAAAACATCTTTCATTTACTAGATTTTAAATCGACCAATTTCACAAGTAACGAATTCAATTTTAGTCATTCAAGTTAAATTTTTTGCTAAATTTAATCTTCAGCTTCAGAAATATTGAGATACTGACAAAACGTAATGGAAATTGAAATGGTCTCAATCTCCTTTCTATCCATGGTTTGGTTGCGTGTAAAATAAGGCTTTAGCTCCTTTCATAGTCATAGGCATAATGCTTGTTCCTCGCTCCTGAAACTTTTTTGTGATGTTACACCATTACATTACAAAAATAGTTTTTCTTCTTACTTCTCACTAGGCATGCAAACAAGCTGACTAGCAGAATTTGAATGGTTCACGCTATCGTATTGATAATGAACTATTCGAATCAGCCATCACATCAAAAAAATATAGCAAGATGTCTGTTATTGACAACCAAACGAAGTATGATCCTATGAACCGTTTAATTTAATAAGAAACTAGGGAAAAACAACCCAAATACATTGGTTGTATTTGCTTACTCATCACATCGTACATGAACGACATCTAGTAGAAATAAAATCTTTTTATTAAAATTCAATTTTTCTAAGAATAATTTTAAAAAAAACTCATAAAAAAATCTTCTGAAAATAAAATTTTTTAAAAAAGAATATCTTGACTTTCTTAAAAGAAATGTTTTCAATATGATGAATTGTTCTCACTAATTCATTCATTCATTGGTTAATATAACTATCGGATCTATCGTATGTAAAGTAAAGCAATAGTCAGTAGAAATATAATGTTTATTTGTTCTGTTGACTAGTAATATTATTTAAAATTTTCTATCGCTTTATTTCTTAATTTTGTATTTTGTAGACTTTCACATCTCTTTTCCATCTCTTGTTAAACAGTAGAAAAAGAAAAAGAAAAAACAGCAAACAATGTCAAATGAACATCTTTCATTAAAAGGCGTTCTTGTTGGTCATAATGATTGGGTAACACAAATCGCAACAACACCACAATTTCCTGACATAGTTCTATCAGCATCACGAGATAAAACAATTATAATTTGGCAATTAAATAATCAACATGATCCAATTAGTGAAAGTACATCATGCGGTGTACCAAGTAAAGCATTACGTGGTCATTCACATTTTGTTTCCGATGTTGTTATATCAAGTGATGGTCTTTTTGCTGTTAGTGGTTCATGGGATAGTTCATTACGTCTTTGGGATTTATCCGTTGGTACAAGTACAAGACAATTTGTTAGTCATAAAAAAGATGTATTAAGTGTTGCTTTTTCGGCTGATAATCGACAAATTGTTAGTGGTAGCCGAGATAAAACAATTAAATTATGGAATACAGTTGGACAATGTAAAAAACATAATTAATATTTAAGAAAAAATATCATTCAGTATTGTTTTTGTTTTTAGGCAAATATACAATTGTCGATGATAATCATACTGATTGGGTTTCATGTGTACGTTTCAGTCCTAATCAAAAAGATCCACTTATTGTATCAGCTGGTTGGGATAAACTTGTTAAAGTAAGCATCTTTTTTTCTTTTTTTTTCTGTATAATTTAATTATTAAATTAAATATAAAGGTTTGGAATTTAACTAATTGCAAATTACGTACAAATCATTATGGTCATAATTCATATATAAATACAGTTACAGTATCACCAGATGGTTCATTATGTGCTAGTGGTGGTCGGGATGGTAAAGCTATGTTATGGGATCTTAATGATGGAAAACATTTATATACACTTGAAAGTGGTGATATTATTAATTCATTATGTTTCTCACCTAATCGTTATTGGCTTTGTGCTGGTAAAGA